ACGGGTCGCGGGTTAACCGCGGCCCGTGGGGGTGCAACCCGCGAAGCCCGCGGGTTACACCTCCTTGGCCCGTGAACCGCCCGCACGGGTCACGGGTCGGCCCACGGTCCCGATTTTTACGGGCCGGTTTTCACGGGTCATGGCCGGCCCGTCCGTCTTGACACCTCTAATACAATCTCAGCCCAGCCCAAACCCTAGCATCACCAGTACCTACACCGCCATTGTCTCCACCAGCACCACCTATCCGCAACCACCGCCATCGCCAACACCATCTCACCATCTTCATCACGACTAGCACCGCCTATACCAATAATCACAACCACCATCTCCTCCACACCACACCACACCACACCACAACCACAACCCCAACAAGAAAATCTAAAAGCCCAATGTCGCTGTCGTCGTCGTCACCAATACTACCGCCTGTATCAACAATCACCACCACAACCTCCTCAAATCCACCATCTTCTTCATCTCTACCACACCAAAACCATCAACACCAATGCAAAGATGCAGATTAAAACAGATCGCACCGCACAAGGCAAAGAGAAAAAGAAACAAGGCATCAATTTGAATCAAAACTAAACTACATTGGCGGTGCGCACGCAGTGACATGACGATGCTTACAACACCACAGCTCGCAGCGAGGCACCACTGAGGGAGGGGGGAAGGGAGAGAGAGAAAGAAGTGGTAGGGAAATAAATTAGGGTTTGGATTGAAATTGGATTGGGATAGATTCGGTGGGATAAGTGTGTAGATTAATTTAATTTTATAATAAGATTATTAATATTTAAAAGATGAATTATCACCAGATTTTGAACAAAAAACTGTTGAACCTTATTTTTGAATTGAGAACTTAAAAACTATGGGTAAATGTAATTTTCACTTATAAGTGTATTTTATAGACTTAATTGGAGTCTAAAATATCGATATTTGTTATTTTTTTTGACAAAATATATTCTAAATTGTTGTATTGTATGTTATATGGGTAAAACACAATGGTTGAACGACGAATTGGATGAAACAAAAGAAAAATCAAGGAAAAAGGCAAAGTCCAAAGTTTAAGGATCAAATTGCAAATATTCAATAGTTGATTCAGACCACAAGACGATACTTTTAAAATTGTTAGGAGACAATTGGATGAAATTAAAACTCAAAATGAAATGGAATGTGATCAAAATATTATCAAAATCAATTTTCAATCGCACAAGTTATACTCTAGATTTTTAATCAAAGATTCAGACCCATTTTGGTATAGTAAACGTCTGAACCAGAAATATTTTATTTCTACCAAAGTTGT